GAATAGGACAATTTGTCAAATTATTAATGATGTTAGGACTGTGACATGTGCAGTTAAATTATAAGTAATGTTTAATTGTTCCAAACTGTTCATGTTGTAATTTATTGACTATCAAGTCTGTCAAATATGAATGATCTCAATTTTCAAAATCTCTTGTATTTAACTTTTGATTCAACTAAATATTTTTAGTTAAATATTTAACAAGTTTCAATGTTTAAAATCCCTCATATTAGAATGTTCCTCCCTACTTTAGCAAGTGAATTTTTAACTCAAAATGACTACGATTTTCCAACCCCGATAAATCTACGTATTTCGGTAAAATCTGTTTCGTTCATAAAACTCTCTCTGAATGAACTGAATTATCATATTAGAAACGTTTAAACAGCTATCAAAGTGGAAATGAACGCGTCAATTTCTGTGGATATTTTTCGATTTATTTCAAAACCTAAAGCTCTAAAAGGGGATGGAGGATACACAGAAGTAATACTCATCGTCGCAACGATGAATACCGCTCTACGTTCAATCAAACTATTCCATTTCTATATGGAAAACAGAACCATTTTCTATGATGCTTTGAGTAAAAAAACATCTCTCGCGCACTGCAATTGAATCTTCTTTTAGAGCTCCAGTTTTCAGAATAAATTGGATTATGTACATAAAAATACATGTGGGTTTGTCATTGTTCAAGAATTCGTTTTAATTAAAATTTGTTATGTTAAGTAACCACTGAAAATATTTAGTCTAAATAATATTTTAAATGTTTAGAATAATATTGTTTAGTCACTAAAATATTAGTAGTACAATTTTATGTTAAATTTGATAATTGTAAGTATGAAATGTCTTTAGAGAATTTTTTGGCAAAATCAAATATCTTAAATGCTGCAATTTTTGCAGAGGTTTGCAGGTTCATATTCGACACATTAGTTCACATATGTGACGAATGGTGTTAATATATATTCAAGTTCAAATGGGAATAACATATGAATTTTCAGCTATTAAGTCTTGAAAAATGAATATGTTTGTTAGAATTCATAAATTTAGAAGATTAAAGTTGAAGGAAATAAAAAAAAATTAAGTAAAGTTTCAGGAGTTTTGAACTCGAGATCCTAGGTTTTTTAAACCTGTCACTTAACCACCCTGCTACAACACGTTGTTGAATTCACCCCCTCTATTATTCTAAACTTTGGCAATATAAATTTTCTATGTACATTGTACATATGGCTATGTACACACATGACATGATTTACTAATTCAGTACAAATTAACTAACGAAAATTGTATTGTATTTAACTGACAATAACTAACAAGAATTATAATATATTTGACTGACAATGACTATAAAAAATTATATAATAAGACCCAGATAGAATAACAGAAAATTAATTTAGGACTAAAATGGAGCTAAATCTAAATTTCCTAATTTCCTAAATTTCCTAATCCAAAATTCCCAATTTCTAAGTTTCCCAATTTCCTAAATTTCCTAATTCCAAAATTCCCAATTTCTAAATTTCCTAATTCCAAAATTCCCAATTTCTAAATTTCCTAATTCCAAAATTCCCAATTTCTAAATTTCCTAATTCCAAAATTCCCAATTTCTAAATTTCCTAATTCCAAAATTCCCAATTTCTAAATTTCCTAATTCCAAAATTCCCAATTTCTAAATTTCCTAATTCCAAAATTCCCAATTTCTAAATTTCCTAATTCCAAAATTCCCAATTTCTAAATTTCCTAATTCCAAAATTCCCAATTTCTAAATTTCCTAATTCCAAAATTCCCAATTTCTAAATTTCCTAATTCCAAAATTCCCAATTTCTAAATTTCCTAATTCCAAAATTCCCAATTTCTAAATTTCCTAATTCCAAAATTCCCAATTTCTAAATTTCCTAATTCCAAAATTCCCAATTTCTAAATTTCCTAATTCCAAAATTCCCAATTTCTAAATTTCCTAATTCCAAAATTCCCAATTTCTAAATTTCCTAATTCCAAAATTCCCAATTTCTAAATTTCCTAATTCCAAAATTCCCAATTTCTAAATTTCCTAATTCCAAAATTCCCAATTTCTAAATTTCCTAATTCCAAAATTCCCAATTTCTAAATTTCCTAATTCCAAAATTCCCAATTTCTAAATTTCCTAATTCCAAAATTCCCAATTTCTAAATTTCCTAATTCCAAAATTCCCAATTTCTAAATTTCCTAATTCCAAAATTCCCAATTTCTAAATTTCCTAATTCCAAAATTCCCAATTTCTAAATTTCCTAATTCCAAAATTCCCAATTTCTAAATTTCCTAATTCCAAAATTCCCAATTTCTAAATTTCCTAATTCCAAAATTCCCAATTTCTAAATTTCCTAATTCCAAAATTCCCAATTTCTAAATTTCCTAATTCCAAAATTCCCAATTTCTAAATTTCCTAATTCCAAAATTCCCAATTTCTAAATTTCCTAATTCCAAAATTCCCAATTTCTAAATTTCCTAATTCCAAAATTCCCAATTTCTAAATTTCCTAATTCCAAAATTCCCAATTTCTAAATTTCCTAATTCCAAAATTCCCAATTTCTAAATTTCCTAATTCCAAAATTCCCAATTTCTAAATTTCCTAATTCCAAAATTCCCAATTTCCTAAATTTCCTAATTCCAAAATTCCCAATTTCCCAGTTTCCATAGCAGTCATATATCACAAAAAACTGCTGTAATCTTTCAAAATTATTACTTTCGTTCTTAGTAATTGCGCAAAGTTCGAATGAAATCGATGTTTCAAAGGTCGTAAAGTCCCCTCATATGATATTTCAAATAGCTCCATTTTCAGGTCGGATTTAATATACGATCATAGAGAAAGCATTATTCACCTTTGAGAAATCGATGAGCACGATTTTAATAACAACGAAGGAAAAGGATGAAAATACCTATAAGGAAAAGTTTCTCTGTTTGTTCATTTTCCAATGGTCAAAGAATATAACGTTCTGCCTACGAACAGATGTGCTAGAAAATTTGCTCGGTTCATCATCGATTTCAACCGATTCGTACAGGTATACGAAAGATCAGAGATTGCTATTTGTTTCCTTCAGTACAGAACTGGAAGAAACATCGTCTGGGGAGAACCTATCAGTTCCTTCTAAAGTAATCTATTTTTTATTTTGCACGAATAAAAATTGACGGAGCGCTATCATTTATCTCGGAAATGAAAAACGAATGCTGTGGTTCTTAAGGGGGGAATTTAGAATCTTAAAAAATTACAAAATTTTTTTTTTATAAAATGTTAGTTTAACATCTTAAAAATATTGTCTCTAAATTTTCAAGTGAAATACGAAGCCCTTTTGAGGTTATGGCCGATTAGCGCCGCGGGTATACACGTTCAGTGCGGAGGACTAAAACTTTAAACGCGTTTTTCTCAAAACTACGTTCTTAAAATTGGCGTGGCTGATAACTCAAAAACTAGTTTATCAATCGCGCTCAAATTTTTTGCACACATCCATGACAATACTATCTAACATATGAACCTAAATGTATGAAATAAATTGAACATTAAAGTTTTTATTGCAAAACATTGCAAAAATTTTCAATAAAATTCAAAGTTTTTCTTTAAACGCGCCATTTCTTCAATTTTACATATTTTGCACATTTCTGAGGTTCGTCTACTAACTGTGAATGTTAGTTTTCGAAACATTGTCTGCAAACTTCAGAGCAATATATCTTCCGCTAGAACCCTCGCCGATTCACGAGACACGCCAAAACACTTCCAGAAAGGATTGCCATAATTCCGGCATTTTGAAATATTTTGCAAAACAGAAAATATTCTGTAACAGGCAATAGTTATAATAAATTATATCTGAAATTTCGAAAATGCAAAATAAAGGTGTCCTATGCAAAAAAAATTCACAAATATCATCTGTCTAAAGGCATTGCCACCCTTAACTACGGAAACTATTTTTAAAAAAAGGCAATTATATTGTCACATAGAAAGTAGCATATGGTAAACAGCTATGTGCATATGGCTTACATGGAATTACTATTATCGACAAATTCCAGAACATGACACTCGACAACCTATTGATTAACCTCTTAACCCAAGCATGACTAATTAATTCAGCAGACCGAGCTTCGGTGTATAATATTCGCTGAAAAATCTTCGTATATCATTAATATAATATTTTCGTCATATTTTGTCAGTTTATAATCTATAATATTTTGCAGATGAATTTTTTTGAAGAATCAAACAATCTGTAATTTCGTCGTTTATTTTTCGACTTCATTTTTAATTTCAAATGAAGTACACATATGAGTATTTAACACTAAACTTATCGACATATGTGCACTTAATTTGAAATTAAAAAATAAATAAACAAACGACGAAATATTAATTAGTGCACATATTTATACTTTATCTTGAAAATCAATGCTGATTTCAAGGAATGTAGTTCAGCAAAATGTGTACTTTATAATAAGAAACTAGTAAAGCGGACCGGTTTGGTAGTTTTAGCGTTAATTTGAAATAAAGTACACATCCAGTGTGATGGATTTTTAATAGTGAACACAGTTATTTTTATTAAAACACGCAAAATATATTATTACAAGAAGACGCCGGGCATCGTAAAACGTGAAGTCACAAACGATTCTCCAAACACAAAACGCTGCACGGCAACCAAAAACAGAAAACGAAGGACCGCGAATTTCTTCATTTAAGTATTATTACAAGAAGACGCCGAACACAGTTATTTTTATTAAAACACGCAAAATATATTATTACAAGAAGACGCCGGGCATCGTAAAACGTGAAGTCACAAACGATTCTCCAAACACAAAACGCTGCACGGCAACCAAAAACAGAAAACGAAGGACCGCGAATTTCTTCATTTAAGAGTTTTAAAAGCGCGTAAATTCAAAACTCCAACACAGTGTTAATTCATTTAAAGATTAGTAAGAATGGAAGTGTTAATAGCAGGATATAAACGATTATCCCAGAAGACCATTCTCATGGATCCTTCAACCGGTTAATGTTTCAGCCGTTCGTGGTCCCCCTGAGAGTACTGATGTTATTAGGGGGTGGACTGGTGGCAGTATTTGGAAGCGAGGCGATCGAGCTTGGGGGTGCTGGACCCTTGGCTGTGGTTGCTGCTGCCTTTGTCAGCTGTTATTTTTGGCAAAAACAAGGCTGGGAAGTCGATGACGTGAGTGCATTTACATATTTATTATTATAAAATGTTTTATGAAAATATCCTTCGAAAATCTACCCCATGAAACAATACCTTTTCTTCTATTTTCGTAAACATCGTTTACCAAATTATTTGCAACATGAATTGCAAATTTTATTGTTTAACTTGCAACCCCATTTTTATTATTCAATACACGATGGAAAACAATTGCAATTTTAATTTGAATGAAATAATAGCTTCAAAATAATTACAGTTTAACTTAAATTAAATAATACAACAATTCAAAAGAAACAAAATATAAATTGAAATTATTTTCCAAACTCAATTTTAATTATTCAAGTGCAATATAATACAAACTAATGAACTAAAATAATGATAACCAAAAGAAATTTTTTTTTGTATTTAAAAATCTCATCACAAAAATGAAACAAGAATTACAAATCTCTTTGAAACTTTAGATAACTTCAAAAAATAATCTTATTTCACAGACATTTCTTTTTACATCGAATAAAAATGTTGCTACCCCAGCAACATTCCAAGAAAACCTTCCTTTAAATTATGCCAGTAGATCATGGGAAAATAAATGTTTTCCCATTACAGGAAATATTTGATGCGTCCACCATTTCCGTCAATGTAAAGTTACAATCTTTATATTGCTGAATCACGTGCACGTCTTACCGTCTCTGAAATGTATTCCAGCACATGCTGCAGTAATCCGTTGTCCCATATTTTCCAGTATAGTCGGTATTTCTTGAAAGACAATATTTTTGAGTGCTACCAAGAGAAAGAAATCTAACGGAGCTAAGTCTGGTGAACGAGCTGTCCACAAAACTGATTTTCCTCCTTCTGTTTTCTGAGTAACTGTATTTATTTTGTAACCGCATTTAATGTTCGGACGATATTTTTTTTTTTGAATTTGGAATTTTAGAAATTTGGAATTTTGGAATTTGGGAATTTTTAGGAATTCAAAATTTTGGAATTCGGAATTGTGGAATTTGGAAAATTAGGAATTCGGAATTTTGGAATTCGGAAATTTAGAAATTCGAAATATTGGAATTCGGAATTTTTGGAATTCGGAATTTTGGAATTCGGAATACTGGAATTCGGAATTTTTGGAATTCGGAAATTTAGAAATTCGGAATTGTGGAATTCGGAAATTTAGAAATTCGGAATTGCGGAATTCGGAAATTTAGAAATTCGGAATTGCGGAATTCGGAAAATTAGGAATTTGGAATTTTGCAATTCGGGAATTTAGGAAATTGGGAAATTTGGAATTCGGAGAACTAGAAATTCGGAAATTTGGAATTCGGAAAATTAGGAATTCGGAAATTTGGAATTCGGAAAATTAGGAATTCGGAATTTTGGAATTCGGGAATTTTGGAAATTGGAAATTGTAGAATTCGGAAAATTAGGAATTCAGAAATTTGGAATTCGGAAAATTAGGAATTCAGAATTTTGGAATTCGGAAGATTATAAACCTAAAAATCTAGAAATTCGGAAATTTAAAAATCCAAACATTTAGTAATTCGATAATTTAAGAATTCGAAAATTTCGACTTCTTCATCGTTTTCATTTAACACGCCCGATCCCATGAAAAATGCTTATCCCCAATTGAAAAATTGTACCGCCTAAGAAAAGTGTGTCCTTTGTAAGGAACTTGACATTTTCATGGAATGCAATTTTTGTAGAGAATACAGTGCCTTAGGATCTGGCTGCGACGAAGATTTATGATCAGAAAATGTCTAAAGCAATAGTTAGGAGGATAATTCAAAGGATTTCGAAGTGAATATATTGTTTGAGTTTTTCAGTTGAAAGCAATCTTGAAAAGCAAACGTCTGTATTATTATTTGAATTATTACTCTGCTTTTTCACATTGATCATGCTTTTTGGGAGACATCCTTTTGTTCTTAATAATTTATCTCGCGTTATTTTAATTTCTGTGTTGTTGCTCGTGGGATACTAGGATAATTTTAATTAATTTCTACATTTCGAAATTTTCGAATTCCAAAATTTCTGAGTTTCTCAATTTCCGAATTCCTAAATTTCCGAATTTCTACATTTCCGAATTCCTAAATTTCCGAATTCCAAAATTCGGAATTCCTAAATTTCCGAATTCCAAAATTCCGAATTTCTAGATTTCCGAATTCCTAAATTTCCGAATTCCAAAATTCCGAATTTCTAGATTTCCGAATTCCTAAATTTCCGAATTCCATATTTCCCAATTTCCTAAATTTCCGAATTCCAATTTTTCTTAACACATTTATGTAAAAGTTGCAAATGTTGAATAAGTCGTTGTATCAGAACAACTCAATTTTTCCGACGGTGAATACGCACAGTTTATTTCAATTATTATATAACACACGTATTATAATTTAGTCTGCGAGTGACATCAATATTACAATCAAAGCCGAAATACTTGATCCCGCAACGAAAGTCTTTGCAAAATATAAAGTAAAGTCCGTAATGACAACAAGTATGTCCCGTAGTGACAAGTTATAAGTGAAGCCTCGTAACAACAAATATAAAGAATGAAACGCGTAGCAACAAATATAAGAGAATGAATCGAAGTGAAGTGCGGGCCCGGTGCCCTCGCTTATTTTATACGTTTCACTCCCCTACGACGTCTCCTAGCAACCACCCGATTTCTTCGAAATCTGCCACGTGCCCTCCGTCGACCTTGGCTTCGCGGTCATCCCTCTACGACCGATCCTTGCGATGCCGCCCGCCCTTTGCGGCCGAGCCGCCGCGCCGCCACGCCGCGCGCCGATACCGATGTCGCGCCGGCACTTGCCGGTACCCGCCGTCAAACGGAGCGGTCCGCGCCTTTGTACTCGTTTCTCGAAAATTACGCATCAGGAGACGTCGCCGAGGAGTGTCTTTCTTTTCTGCCGAAGTACGCACCTGGGTTCGCCGGCATTTCGCGGTGGATCAAATACTTATTAATTGGCATTTTTCTCGGAATTTCAGAGCATGTGCCACGTGCCACTTTTGCCACGTGCCATTGCCACGTGCACCACGCACGTGTACATTTCTTAGAAAAATTAATTATCTATCGTCTTCGAGTGCGACCGATCCCGCAGACAGCTAGCCGGAGCGCAGGGCAAGCAAGCTCGCCCTCGCCCGGGTTCTCACCTCTCCCGAGCGGAGTGGCCCTCGGTGTTTTGGTGAGCACCACCACTCCCGGGCGGATTGGTTACCCCCGGTGCTACGATGGTGTTTTTCATGCCGAGACACTCATGGTGTTCGACGAATACGGCCACAGGTTTCCCCGTGCACGTAGGGCTTCGAGGCATGGAAACTCGCCATGCCTGCTGCTTTTGACCAGTCGTCCCCGAAAACCCCGCTAAATTCATTAAATCTTATGTTTATCTTTAAATTCTCATCCCATGCTCTGAAATGCCTCAATTGGCCAGTTCTATCCGTAACAGTCGTCCTGTTTTACGACCTAAAGCATGTCCCTTATCTACGACAATAAATTTGTTTAAACGTCACCCTATTTCCTCCCCCATAAACTTGATAGCTTCCGGTGAAGCTTAGGTTCGGTGGTAAATATTGATAAACTGAAGTACGTACCGTATATTATAACTCGTGCATACATTACAAGTGAAGAAGCTATATTTCTGGTTATTTTGATTTACTTTATTTAGTCTTTAATTATTTATTTGCACTTTGTATACAAATTTTCCATTTCAGACATCTTTATTTACCCTTATTTCATTTTTTAGTCAAACTTGTACTTTACTAGTTAAACTTGTACTTTGCTAGTTAAACTTGTACTTTTCTAGTTAAAATTGTACTTTGCTAGTTAAACTTGTACTTTGCTAGTAAAACCGGTACTTTGCTAGTTAAACTTGTACTTTGCTAGTTAAAATTGTGCTTTGCTAGTTAAACTTGTACTTAGCTCGTTAAACTTATATTTCTAGAAAACGTCAGATAATCTTTCATGTTATGTATAATTAGAAAATCTATGTGGACTGTGTTCAACTGTGTGAATAAATATTGTGTGAATTATTCTACAAGAGAAGCTTCTTAAAAAATAATGTCCCTGCAGAATATATTCTCTGGCACTGGAAAATTGATAATGGGGTTAGATGACCAATTACCCTTATCAATCTTGGACAACTCAACGTTTACTATGTCTAAAGCTATTTCCGTGAGACTTGGGGCAAACTACCCTCAGTCAAGGGTTCATCTGAACAAGTCATTCCCCATCCCCATAGTCACAATATTAAAAGCCCTCATGCAAGTGAAAGAACACATAAAAGTGTCTTTCATATGTGTTGAAAATATAAAAGTGTCTTTCATATGTGTTCATATGAAAGAACATTACAAAAGTAAATATACATAAACTTATAAGAAACGTATAAAGAAACCTTAAATTTTTGTATTAACCCAAGATTAGAAAAGCAGAATTCACGATCAAAAGATTAATATTGATACAATAGTGGACGTAAACGGTGCATAAAGCTGAAATCGTGTTTCGATATCGGTTACCGGCTAGAAGTCGAAGGATTTATGAGCAAAATGCGGAAAATATTAACACGTTCCCCGTTATGGGTCCGCCAGTGACCCGCGACGGATTTTTCTTTCGAAGTTATGGGGGTCAACGATAAGCGACGGCGTGCTTTCAACGTCATCGAACCGCGTGCAACCGGTTTATTGAAAATAAAATGCTGCCGAGAAATTGTTCGAATTCGTCACGTGTCGTGTTTTGACGACCACGGGGTGCAAAGAATATAAGCAATAAGTGATCGGAAGACACTTGGCAGATTTATGCTTTTGGGCAAATCGATTTTTTATATGAATGTATAGGGGATGTATAGGGAACATATGAGGGTGGGTTAGTTAGGTTAGTGTATTGAGGTAGATTAGATTAGTGTGGGAAGGTAGATCGGTTGGGTTAGTTAATCAGGGTGGATTAGTTAAGTTAGTGCATCAAGGTAGATCAGTTAAGTTACTTATTCAGGGTGGATTAGTTAGGTTAGGGCATCAAGGTAGATTAGTTTAATGCATTA